GGTGTTACAGAGGTCGACGGTGTGACAGAGGTGGGTGGTGTGACAGAGGTGGACGGTGTGACAGAGGTGGGCGGTGTGACAGAGGTGGACGGTGTGATAGACAGAGGTGGATGGTGTGACAGAGGTGGGCGGTGTGACAGAGGTGGGCGGTGTGACAGAGGTGGGCGGTGTGACAGAGGTGGGTGGTGTGACAGAGGTGGACGGTGTGACAAAGGTGGGTGGTGTGATAGACAGAGGTGGGCGGTGTGACAGAGGTGGGCGGTGTGACAAAGGTGGGCGGTGTGATAGACAGAGGTGGATGGTGTGACAGAGGTGGGCGGTGTGACAGAGGTGGGCGGTGTGACAGAGGTGGGCGGTGTGACAGAGGTGGGCGGTGTGACAGAGGTGGGCGGTGTGACAGAGGTGGGCGGTGTGACAGAGGTGGGCGGTGTGACAGAGGTGGGCGGTGTGACAGAGGTGGGCGGTGTGACAGAGGTGGGCGGTGTGACAGAGGTGGGCGGTGTGACAGAGGTGGGCGGTGTGACAGAGGTGGGCGGTGTGACAGAGGTGGGCGGTGTGACAGAGGTGGGCGGTGTGACAGAGGTGGGCGGTGTGACAGAGGTGGGCGGTGTGACAGAGGTGGGCGGTGTGACAGAGGTGGGCGGTGTGACAGAGGTGGGCGGTGTGACAGAGGTGGGCGGTGTGACAGAGGTGGGCGGTGTGACAGAGGTGGGCGGTGTGACAGAGGTGGGCGGTGTGACAGAGGTGGGCGGTGTGACAGAGGTGGGCGGTGTGACAGAGGTGGGCGGTGTGACAGAGGTGGGCGGTGTGACAGAGGTGGGCGGTGTGACAGAGGTGGGCGGTGTGACAGAGGTGGGCGGTGTGACAGAGGTGGGCGGTGTGACAGAGGTGGGCGGTGTGACAGAGGTGGGCGGTGTGACAGAGGTGGGCGGTGTGACAGAGGTGGGCGGTGTGACAGAGGTGGGCGGTGTGACAGAGGTGGGCGGTGTGACAGAGGTGGGCGGTGTGACAGAGGTGGGCGGTGTGACAGAGGTGGGCGGTGTGACAGAGGTGGGCGGTGTGACAGAGGTGGGCGGTGTGACAGAGGTGGGCGGTGTGACAGAGGTGGGCGGTGTGACAGAGGTGGGCGGTGTGACAGAGGTGGGCGGTGTGACAGAGGTGGGCGGTGTGACAGAGGTGGGCGGTGTGACAGAGGTGGGCGGTGTGACAGAGGTGGGCGGTGTGACAGAGGTGGGCGGTGTGACAGAGGTGGGCGGTGTGACAGAGGTGGGCGGTGTGACAGAGGTGGGCGGTGTGACAGAGGTGGGCGGTGTGACAGAGGTGGGCGGTGTGACAGAGGTGGGCGGTGTGACAGAGGTGGGCGGTGTGACAGAGGTGGGCGGTGTGACAGAGGTGGGCGGTGTGACAGAGGTGGGCGGTGTGACAGAGGTGGGCGGTGTGACAGAGGTGGGCGGTGTGACAGAGGTGGGCGGTGTGACAGAGGTGGGCGGTGTGACAGAGGTGGGCGGTGTGACAGAGGTGGGCGGTGTGACAGAGGTGGGCGGTGTGACAGAGGTGGGCGGTGTGACAGAGGTGGGCGGTGTGACAGAGGTGGGCGGTGTGACAGACAGAGGTGGACGGTGTGACAGAGGTCGACGGTGTGACAGAGGTGGGTGGTGTGACAGAGGTGGATGGTGTGACAGAGGTGGACGGTGTGACAGAGGTGGGCGGTGTGACAGAGGTGGCAGCTGTTCACTCACTGGCATCACTGTTTTCTTCGATGTTGGCTGTGTACACGTTCTGTGTGAAGACTGGGGGGTTATCATTCACGTCCATGACTTTGACTCTGAGCTCCAGAGGCCTCTCCAAATCTTCTCCCCGGGAATTCAGAGCCCGACAATGAATCTGTGGGAAGGCAGAGAAAAGCTGTCTTTCTATACCAGGGGAAATTAGACAATATGTTCAAAAACACAGGAGGAAATATGCAAAGAAATGACATTTTCCTATGAATTCAGACTATGTTGGAGTCCAGTATTTTGAAATCATGAAGTTGCTCCGTCATACCCAGCTGCAACACACAGGGGAATCCAACTTTGATCTTGAAGTTTTCCCACTCCTTAAGTCCTTCATTTATTTCAATGTACCATGATTGTTATCAAAAGCAACCATAGACTTGAGACCAGTTTTAGAAAGAAGAGAAAAAGAGAAAAAGAAGATGAACAAATCAGAGCCCACTGCTGTGACTTGCCAGGAACAGTGGGGTTATCTCCCTGTCCACCACTGAGGTGATGTTGATTTCCCCAGTCCGAGGGTTGATAGTGAACACTCCATAAGGTGGACGATCAATCCCTGCTCCAGAGATTCGATATGTGATTTTCTGGCTCACTTCGCAGTCTGATCGAATCTGTAAGAGAAATGGCCAGGATTGGAACCAAATTTAGGGCAGATCTAGAAGCTTGGGTGCAGTGGATGGAGAAGGCAATGAGATTTGAGTACAAGAGGGCTTTGGTTAGAAACAGAACCTCAGGGTGTAGTCCTGTGTGACTTCGGAATCATTGACCAAGTACCATATTATGGTGGGGATGTGATATTAACTAGTAGACTTATTGTGGGGTGTTCCAGCCTAACAGAAGCAGCCAGAATCTGTAGTGGGTTTTTAGTCTATTTGTTTTCTTTCATTTTGTTTTTGAAACAGAGACTCATGGAGCCTGGGTGGGCCTCGAAATAACTGAGGATAACCTTGAATTTCTGATTTTCCTGCCTATGCTTCCCCCAGTATTGGGATTTGCAAGTTTTACCACTATGCCTGGTTTTATGTGGTGCGAGTGAAAGTCAGGGCTTTGTGCCTGCTAAGCAAGTGCTCTACCAACTGAACCTTATCCCTGGCCTCTCTTTAGTATTTTAAAAACTTTGGATTATATTTAATTTTATTATGTTTAGATTTGAGTGTGAGACAGTTAAAATGATATGTTAGTGAAGAAGTTCAGAAGAGAAATGTGGTGTGTAGAGATAGTGAAATGTTTTCTATATGTATATATATATATGTGCTTCTGCTATGTATTAAAATGTTAAGATTTCTTAATCTTAATGTTTTTTACATTGAAGAAAATCTAGAAATCCTCGAAGTGCAAATAGAACTGAGTTTGTAATATAAACTGGGTAACACAAAGCTATGGGTTAAATGAA